AGTGGGCCCCGGGGCAGCGAGCGGAGCGGCTCACCCCCCCCCCCCCCACCCACCGGGGGCCGGGTTTTGGGAAGGGCCCCGGCCCCCCCGGCCCAGGGGGGGGGGGGGGGGCGTGTTTGTATCTGAGGACGGTGTCCCCTGTTCTCTGTCAGGCTCAGGAGTTGTGCTGAGAGCCCCGAGCTGGGGCAGGTGCACCAGCAGGGCTTTTCCTTAAGAAAGGCTGGCCTGGGAAGTAGGGGGACACGGTGTCTTCGACTCAACAGCCCTGGGAGGAGGATTGGAGTTCAGGTGGTTCTGTGCTCTGTGGGGGTGGGGGTGGGGGATGGGACTGTCCCCAGGAGGTTCACCTCCCCCTCCAAACCCCAGGGCCTGTGGCTGCTCCCCAGAGACCTGGCCAGGAGCTTGGGACGTCATCTGGCTCCTTCTGGATTCTCTAGGCAGGAATTGTGGGTAAAGAGACAGGAGAGGGTGGGGTGGGAGTCCCCACTCTGCCCCAGGGCAGGTCGGGGAGGCTGAGGGGACCGAGCAGCACGCGGGGTGGGCAGGAAGGGGCTGGTTACTCACCCCTCCCTTCCTCCTGCTTCTAGCAGGACGTTTGGAGGCTGGGAACTGGTCGGGGCCGAAGGGATCGGGGGCTGCCGGACGATCTGTCGTGAGCTGGCTCAGTGTGGGCGGGGCGCTTCCTGGTCCCGGAGTCTGGGAAAACTGCCCTCTGGGCTGGGCGAGGAGAGAGGAGCACCCGTAACCCTGGAATCCCCGGCCCAGTTGTCCTTCTCCAGAGCAGCCAACCCCCCTCCCTTAGCCACCCAACAAACGCTCTGCCCCTCCCCCCCCCCCCCCCCCCCCCGGGGACACACTCCGGCCCGGGGCCAACCCAGCCACCCACCTGCCTCTCCCAGAAACAGGCTGCAGGGTGAGGCTGATCCAGGCCCACTGGAGGAATCAGGGCTGGGGTTAGGGAGGAGGGCTTCTTGGAGGAGGTGATGCCTCCAAGGAGTCTTAAGGGTGAGCGAAGATGGGCCAGGGGCGGGCAGGGCCAGCCAGGCTGAACAGAGGCAGAGGGGTGAGCCAGGCTTGGGGTGTATACTGAGAGCCCGAGTCAGCGTGTGTGGGGCAAGAGTAGGTTCTGGAGAGCAGGGGTGAGGCCAGCTCTCGGTAGGGGGGGGGGGGTCCCTGGGGAGCTCCAGAGGGCTGGGCAGGGGAGGCACACGGTGAGGGGGCCGTGGACTTGGGGTGGGGGGTGGGGAGCTGCTCACCCCCGGGGGGCGGTCCTGATGGACCGGGCGTGGCCGGGGGAGCCCCCGCAGTGAGAGCCCCGGGAGCCGAGAGGGTTTCTCAAGGGAGAACGTGCTGGAACTCTGCGCTCAGGTGGGCGGAGACGTGGGTCAGTGTGCGGGTGCAGGAGAGTGTGGTCTGGGGCTGTGGCCCGAGCCGGGGCTTTGACGGGGGCTTCATCCTGGGCAGATGAGCCCCTTCGTGGGTTGAGTGTTTCTTACTCTATTTCCCGAGGGCCCACCTCAAACATTACCTCTTCGGGGATGCCCACAGGGTTTTGGCCAGTTTAGGACCAAGACCAGGGGGCGGGGTGGGGGGGTCTCCACCGAGGCGCAGCTTTGGGCCTCGACCAGCAGGGCGCCCAGACCCCCACAGCGGCGTCCGTGCTGGGGGCTCAGGGGGCCCCTCCCAGCTGGGAGAGGGTGTCGGATGCCGACTCCCACTTGGTGACTTGTTCTTGGAGTCATAGCCTTACAAGGGGCACCCCGGCCGGCTGTGGGCATCGGGGGCCTGGCCGCGGCTTGTCAGCTCCATCCCAGAGGCCACCTGGTTAAGGGTCTCAGAGGGCCAAGTCCCTCTGCAGGTGCCATAGGAGGGGCTGGGCTGGCAGGTGCCAAGGAATGTTCTAGAGCTGGAGTCTGTGAGTAGGCTCCTGGGGTTGGGGTCTGGGAGGGGCTGGCCCGTGTCCAAAGCGGGGTCTCTTGAGCTGAATGCCAGGTCAGTTTTGACTCACCCTGCGGGTGGGTTCAGGGGACTGAGCCTTGGGTTAGAGGGGAGGTTCTGGCAGCTACCGGGGGCTTCTCCACGGGCCTCTAGTGATGCAGGGACCGCAGAGTCAGGGGAAGGAGGGAGTAGCTTGCTCGGGGGCAGAGGCCTGGGATGGACGAGCTCACACCTTGCATGCACTGAGCCCTGCTCTGCCCCTGGCTGTGTGCTGGGACGCAGGGTCCCTCATGCTGCGGCGGGGGTCCCTCATGACAGCCAGTGGAGGATGCTGGAGGTGCCCATGGCAGGAGGCTCGCAGACTGGAGACCTGGGGTCCCCCCGTGACGGGTGGGATACAGTCTGGGAAGGTTATGTCTCCTTCCTCCCGCCAGAGCAGAGGAGGAACAGGGGACCCTGTCTGGGGAAACTCAGGCTTGGCGTGAGGCACCCGCTGCGCCAGCTTGCCCGGGACTGAGGCGCTTCTGGGACATGGGGCTTTCCAGGGAAAAACCCGGAGAGTTCCAGACAAACCAGGATGGCTGGCCACTCTCCCTTTATGGGTCCCTGCAGGCCAGACAGACTCATGCTGGAAGTTGGCCCAGAGGGAGGAGGGAAGGCACTGGGGTAGGGGTAGCAGCATGGAGATGGGAACACAGGGTCATGGGCACCCTGCCTCCAGCCCCCCAGAGGGACGCCTTGCCCTGACCTCCGTGCTCAGGAGAAAAACAGCTTCGGGGCGCCTGGGTGGCGCAGTCAGTTAAGCGTCCGACTTCAGCCAGGTCACGATCTCGCGGTCCGTGAGTTCGAGCCCCGCGTCAGGCTCTGGGCTGATGGCTCGGAGCCTGGAGCCTGTTTCCGATTCTGTGTCTCCCTCTCTCTCTGCCCCTCCCCCGTTCATGCTCTGTCTCTCTCTGTCCCAAAAATAAATAAACGTTGAAAAAAAAAATTAAAAAAAAAAAAAAGAAAAACAGCTTCGAAGGAGGGGTGTCCAACCAGGGGAGGCCGGAGCGGAAGTGGCCAGGAGCTGTGGTGGGGCCTGGCAAGGGCCTCCGAGGGGGTGTGAGAGGGCAGAAAGGCAGCCTGGAATCAGGGAGAGGCAGGCCTCTGAACCGTCCAGGAGAGCAGGTCTCAGGGCAGCTCACCAGGCTGCGGTGGGGAAACTGAGGCAGAATAAGTGGCAGGAACACGCTCCTGTTCGTGTGCTCCCGGTGCTTTGCCCACCCCCCCCCCCCCCCGGCACATGCCCGAGGGGCCCGGAGTGCGCCTGCCTCTTAGGTCCCCCCGGCACGGCCTCCGCTGTCCTGCTGCCTCGTCCCCCGGCTGGAGGGAACGATGCCATGTTCTGACCATCCAGTGTCTTCCAGAACCTCTGCCCGCTGGCAACTTCATGGAGAAGCCATCCAGGAGGAAGCAGGAAGGACCTCCAGGGAGTCAGAAGAGAAGTCACAAACCCACACAGCCTCCTACCCTAGAGAGCCCCCCCCGGCTGTCCTGCGGTCACTTCCGCCTGCCTGGATGGCACTTAGGGAGCCTGGTTATTTTGTCTGTGCTGGGGACGGCCACACACAGTAGCCTGTCTTCCGTGCTCTGGGAGCCCTGGAACCTGGCTGGGCCGGACTCTAGGGGCCCTGGCGCCTCCCGCCCCCGGGCCCCTGGTCCCCTGCTCAGCTCCAGTGACAGCTGGGTATTGCACACATTTGATAAACTGCAGATGAGTGAGACCCCAGCATCTCAGCCCCTTCCCCCCACGGGACTCACCCTGAGAATCCTCCCTGGAGCCGGTTTCATCAGGCCGTGGACCCTGCCCTGGTTTATTCACCTATTTCTGGCTCCACCCACCAGCCTGGAAGCCCCTGGAGGGGAGGCCCCCTGCCCCTCCCCCCCCCAGGCCCCAGGGAAACACTCCCGGTCTGGATCCCGACTGGACGTTCGGGGAGGAGGGCCTGTTCAAGGACCCACGGCCAACAGTGGGCTTCCAGGCTACCGTGGCTGATGTCCAACCCAAGGCGGCCACTCGGTCTACTGTTTGCCCCAAGTCAGAATCCAGAGCATCTGGGGGAGGGGCTCAGCAGGGAGGCCTCATCTGTAGGACCCAGCAGCCAGTGAGCTCAGGATGGATGGAGCCCGGCGGGGGTTGGGGGGGGGGGGGGTGGGGGCCTGCAGTCAGCCCCAGCAGGCTGGCATCTCCGGGACTCACCAGCTCTTGACAAGGGGCTCGTCCTCTTGACAGAGTTTCCCCATCTGTGAAATGGTCTGGGCGGATTCGGTGAGATAACGCACGGGGCTGCCTGGCACAGAGAGGGTGTGCCGACGGCAGCTGCGTACCCACCAGCGTCCAGCCGGGGCTGGCCGAGGACATTGCTGAGCGCCGGGCAGAGTCGCGGGGACCTGTGCCCCACGGACCCCCAGGGCTCTGGAGGGCTTGGTGGCACTGTCCACGCTGCCCAGCATGTGAACACTATTCCACCGTGCCCTACGGGTTATTAGGGAACGGCACATGATGGGGGTGTCGGGGTCTGAGTCTCCCCACCAGCCCACGGCTCTGCACTCAGAGCAAATGTCCAGCTTACGTGACAGTGGCAGCTGGAGGGGGCCGCTGGTGTTGCGCTGTGCTCGGCCACCCCTCTAGGCGTGTGGAGACAGTGGCCACGGGGAGGGTGCTGGCCACCGCGCCAGGCACATGTGGACACGGCCCCCGAGACTCTTCAGGAGCCTTGCAGGGGAGAAAGCAGAGGCACGGAGAGGTTAAGCGACTTGTCCATGGTCACACAGCTCCAGTAAGAGGCAGTTGCCGTGCCTGACTCCAAAGCCCAGAGCTTTGTGGCTTAGCCAGGCAGTGCCCCTACCTTGTCCCCTGCCCCAACCCCTGTGCCACGTGCATGCTGCCGGCATTAGAGTGGCCAGACAGGGAAGAGCCACCAAGTGGCCACCAGCAGGAACCGGAGGTGGACTGTGGCCACGCCCCCCATCTGCCCAGCAAAGGCCTGCAAAGGCCTGCTGCCCCCTTCGTCACGCCCCCACATCCCAGGGTCCCAGTGCCCTCTGGCCTCATCCCTCCGGGGTCCCCAGCCCCTGCCCTGGCCTGGGACACCATTGTTTCCCAGCCGCCTGACTTCAGCCATTCCTCAGCCCCCCTCCCATCCTCTCTGCTCGAGGCACCTGCATCCTCCATTAAACCTCAGGACCCTGGACCCTAAGCTGGAAGCCTCCAAGGCTCCTCGGTGCCTTCTCAAGGTGGCCGGCTCCTGGGCTGGACTCCAGGCCCTGCACACCCGGCCCCTGAAGCCCTCTCCAGAAATCTGGTTCGTTCTGGGCTCACTCTCGGTACCAGCCGTGACGGGCGAGGGCCTGGGATTGGCCCCGTCCCCGCCTGGGACCCCCACCCTTGCCGGGATCCCCCTCCTCATCCCAAACCTGGGGGGGGGCTCTGCTGGGGGTTCCCGCTGTACCCCACGTCCCGCCATCCTGGCACGGACCGCCCCTGTAGTGGAGGACGCTCAGGGCTTGGCGGGGGCAGCTTGGAGGTAGGCCCAGGCCTTCCCTGGCAGCCCCCAGGGTCCCCTTTAGTCGCAGGCTCATCTCTGGGGGGCCAGCAGACGTTGTGGGGCGCTCGCTCTGCAGGCCTGCTTTCTTGGATGCTGCTCCCCTGGCAGGGCCCCAGCTCCCAGCGCGGAGGCGCACTTAGGGTTACTGGTTTGGTGGGTGTTGTGAGAGGTGGATGGACTCGTGACAGCGTCCACAGGCAGCCGGCAGGCCCCGAGGCAGGGACAGGCCTAACCGGTGGGGGCCCGGGCCGGCCACAGAGCCCTGCACTGCCTGGGGCTTCGATCAGCAGCACTGGTGGAGGGAGAGGAGGCAGAGGGTGAAGGGGTGATGGGGGCGGAGGAGATGGGGGGGGCAGGAAGAGGAGGAGCTGAGGGTGGGGGGCACGGAGAGGGGGCTGAGGGGCACCAGAGGGAATGGCCAGCTCTCAACGTTGCGTCTTTAGCCTGGCTGACCCTCCCCTTCCTCTCCCTGCTCCTTGGCCCCCTGGCTCCCTGCCCCCCTACCCATGTGTAGGGAGAAAGGAGAAGGCCATGTGTTATTTCCCAGTGATGTGTGAGTGACAGCCCCCCCCCCATCCCGCCCAAACATCTAGGGGTGATGGGGTACTTTTTGAAAACGAGGCTTCCCCCCTGCACGGCCCTGGCGGGCCACGTTAGGCCGACCCCCCCATTTAGACTCGAGGAGACTTATGGGCCCAGGGAGCCAGGCCCTTGCCCAGATTCCCCACCAGGTGAGGGATGAATACGGCCCCCCCCCACCCCCCCCCCCCCCCAGGGCTGCACTGGGGTCCACCTGGGCTCTCCTTCCCAGTCGCCAGTGCGCGGGCAGGTGGGCGGGCCCGGGGGGCGGGCTCCTGCCTGCAGTGCCATCTGCGGACACCAGGGGGCAGCAAACGCCCAGCTTTGGGCCTCAGGGCGGGCGGCCCGCAGCCCCGGGTCTCGGGAGCTGTCACCTCTGGCACCTCAGCAGCTTTCCAAACTGTGTCCCGGCCCTCGAGGGAGGGAGGGGACGGGCACCCATTCTGCGGAGCCCCTACTCCGTGCGGCCTGCGGGGCTCCCGGCCTCTGTCCTGACCTCCCACCGCTCACCTTTGAGACCCAGCTGGGTGCCGGGGGTTAGGAAATGTAGTAAAAGACTGCACAGATGAGATGCTGAGGGCCTCCCCCTCCCCTGGCCTTGGGGGGCCCGACTTGCTCTGGGAGCCTGCTCAGGGTGTCATGGGAGCAGGGAGCTTACACGCTGCCTGGCCCAGTACGTGCTCCGTGGCCCCGGGGCCCGGGTGGGCTCGCTCCTCTGCGGGGCCGGGGGGCAGGGCTGGGGCCCTCACGTCTCCTCCGCGGCTTTCGGGCTTCTCTGAGCGCCGCGTGGGTGTGCTGGAAGCAGGGTGGGAGCTGGCGGCCCTGGTGAACCCTCTGGACAGAAGATTCTGACTCCTAGGGGTCCCCTCTAGCTCAAGAAGACCGGACAGGAAGCCGGGGGCTCGGCGGAACGAGACCCAGGACGGGGCATCTGCTCACCCAGATTCGTTTTTCCTGCTCTTTCCAGGCGGGAGGCCTGGTGGGGCTCAGGGCCAGCCGCAGACCCTCCTCCTTGCCTGCCCCCGACCCTGGGAGCCCTCCCCAGCCCCGCAGAGGTCTGTGGGGGGCTAGGATAAGCAGTGTTCCAGGGCCTCCCGGGATGGCCAGTGCGGAGCCCGGAGCAGTAGTGGGCCAGCTGGGCTGGGGTGGCCTTCTGCTCGGCACTCGGAGAGGAAGCAGTGCCTGGCCCGCCTGGCCGGCCGTGCGGATGGGGCAAGGGAGCCCTCACGTCCAGGGCTGCTCCCGGCTTCCTCCACACCTCCCCCCACGGCCCGCCCAGCCCCTCCTGCTAATTCCCGGGGAGCGAGGACCCCCGGCCCAGCCGCCCAGCCGGGGCCGGAGCACAAGGCAGCCCCTGTAATCCGAGCTTTGGATTCGCGTTGTGCGGCATGTGGACGCGTCACCGGAGGGAGGCCGGCACCTGTGGAGGACGTGCCTGGCAGCCGCCCCGAGAACAGCCCGTCCTGGGGGGGCTGGGGGCGGGGCCGGCAGAGCGCGGGAAGTCGGTGCGGGGAGGAAGGTTCTGGCTGTGCCGGCGCTGGGCCCCGGGCCAAGTGTGCTAGGAAACCCCCCTCCCCGCCAGCCCCAGCTCCGAGCTGGGCTGGCTGCCTGTCGCTGGAGGCTGGCTAGTTAATCTGTAACTCTCCATACTCCTCGGGGCCTCCAGGCCTCATCTTGTGGAGGAGAAGGTGAGGCTGCGAGGGGCAGCGTCCTCCCCGAGGGGTCTGGCCAGGCCGGTTCAGGGCCACTGCTGGGTGAAGTGGCTTGGGGCCAAAGGTCTGGCCCTTCCCGGGGCTGTGGGCAGGGGGGCGGGGCCGGACGGGGCCGTGGGGCTTTGCCCCGGTGGGCCCCGTCTGAGCCAGGCAAGAGCTGGCTCACCTCCCTGGTGGGAGGCACACGGGGGAGGCTCAGTCCCCCCAGGACAGGGCCACAGCCCGCCTCCCCCAGCCCAGATGCCCAGCTCCGGCTCTAGGCTTGGGGGGGGGGGGGGGGGCCGGGGGGGGGCAGTCAGGGGGTTCTTGCTTTCTTTCCTCTCCTGCTTTCGTGCTCGCCAGCCCCTCATAGAAGTCCCGGGAGGGGCTCCGGGCTGGAGAAAGGCGCGCGTCTGTGGCCACAGAGCTCTGAGTAGGTTGCTTAACCTCTCTGGGCGTCTGGTTCCTCCCTTGCAAAAACAGGCAGCAAAATGCCTCCCTGTCCAGGTTCTTGGAAGGATTAAAGGAGGCCAGGGGCCGAGCCTGGGTGCAGGGCAGGCTCCTGGAATCTGGTGCTGTTATTTGTACCATCCCTCCGCGCCCCTCACGCCGCCGCCTGTCCGGGAGAAGTTTTCTTCTCACACACTCACACACCCCTCGCAGGGGCCTGGGGAGCACACTGGGGGCGGGCCCTCCTGGGCTTCCAGAAACAGGTCCGTGTGGCTCCCCAGGAGGAGGGAGCTCGGGGACGCGGGCGGGCGGGGAGTCAGCCAGCAGGCGGCAGCATGTGGCCAAAGACGGCGCTCCCCGGCCCGCCCAGCTCTGCCGCTCGCGCGTGCGAGAGTGGCTCCCTCCGAGCCTCAGTTTCCTCAGCTGCAAAAGGGGCCCGCTCCCTGGGCCGACCACGGCGGGCGCCGTGGGGAGAAATAGCCCCATGAGGTCTTGGGTTAGTGGGTTAACTGCCGTAACCACTAGAGCGGGACCAAGTAAGTCCTTCAATCTGCCCGGGCCTGTCTCCTCTTCCAGAAAAATGACACCTCAAACAGGCCGGTGCCACACAGGTGACTCCAGCTGGGGAGGGCTGGCTGCTCTAACAGCCCCCCCCCCCCCCCCCCCCCCCCGCCAGCCCCTACCGGCTTAAAACACGATAAACCTTTATTTTTCACTCCTATCTCGGTCAGGTCGGTGTGCAGAGGGTGCTGTGGGGGTGGTGGCTCTGCTCCCTGGGTCATTCAGGGCTGCAGTCCCCCCCCCCCGCCGCCCCCCAATCTGGCTGGCAGAGCGGTGGCAGGGGGGGTGGCAGAGGGCAGAAGAGCTAGGTTGGTCTGGACGGGCCTCGGCCTGGAGGCCGCGTAGGCCATTTCTGCTCCTGTCTGTGGCCCAAACTGGTGGCGTGCCCCCCCCCCCCCCACCAGCTGCAGAGGGGCTGGGGACGTGGTCCTTGCTCTGTTCGTTTGGAGGAGGAAGAAGCGAACAGGGCTGGGCCGGGTAAGAAGGACAGAGATGCGCACTGGAGATGCCAGCGGGGGGCCCGGTGCTTACGACCCCCTCACCCTGCACACGGGCTCCCCCACTGCCACGCGTGCAGGATTTAGGGGTGCTGGAGCGTCCCGGGAGCCTGTCCTTGCCGTTCCCCAGGGGCCACCCCCCCCCCCCACCCCCCGGTCTGTTCCTTTTGTTTTCTTTTCTCCTTCGGATACACTTTTAATTACAAAAGTGGAGCTTGGTTATTGTACTCAGGCAGATGTTTGCAAGCTTGGGGGCCCCTCGGGGTGGAGGACTGGGCCTTCTCTCAGACTTCCGGGCCCCCAGCTGTCCTCCCCCAGGTCTGTCCCTGGCTCGGGGGAAGGGCCCCAGCCCCGCTCTTGGGACTGGCAGGTCAGTGAGCCAATGGGTACCCTCCTTGACCAAATTCAGAGTCACATACTCAGAGGAGGTCACCTCCCTGCCCTAACAGAGCCAAGAGGGGAGATGTCCCCATGGCCTTTGGAGAATACAAGGAAGGCCGGGAAGCCCAGAGGGAAAGCAAAGAGGAAGGCCGGCAGCTGGAGGAGGGGCAGCCCGACTCCGCTCCCGCCCCATGGTGCTCCCGCTAGAGTTCCATTCCCACAACAGGTGAGGCCCCACCAAGGGGATGCGTAAAGCCATCAGGACGGCCCTTGGCGCGAGCGAAGGGTGGCCACTGTTGCCGCACCGCGTGATGTGAGTTGTGTGGGACTGCCACTCCCAGTGCTCGGAGGCAGGACTCGACGTCACATGCTGTCAGTCTTGTCACGGAGACAGGGGGGTGGGGTGCTGGGACCCAACTGTCTGAACTCAGCTGGCACCGAAGGCAGTGGGAATGGCCCTCTAAGCCCACCCCAGCCCAGGACAGTGCGTGGGGAGGACTGGGTCATTTACTCCTGCTCATTTACTAAGCACCTACTAGGTCCCCTGCCCTTAGGGGGCCGAGGGCAGACAGCTATTCATAGCACCCGGCAGTTCCCGCTAGGGAGGAGAGCTCAGGCCCCCTGAGTGTCCAGAGCGGGGCTGGGCGCGGGATGCCTTCCTTCCTGGGGGAAGGGAGACCACCTGGAGGCTGAATCCGGGGGTTGGGTGGGCTACTTCCCAGCCGGCCCTCCAGGACAGCTGGAGCCAGGGCATCTGGACCTCTCGGGAAATCCAAGACGAATCCACCTGGCTCCACATTTTGTGCTCACTACCCGCTGTGGCACTGGGGAAGCCAGTGTGACCAGGGCACCAGGGCTGGGCAAGGCCCTGCCTCCTTTGAGCCCCAGGCCAGGTGATGACCCCGTATAAGCGGTCCACAGAGCTTCAGAAAACTTCAGCAGCTTTTTTTTTTTTTTATTTTCCTGAAGGTAAAAAATTGCAGCATCTGCGCCTGTGGGAATGTTGGGATACAATATACAGAACAGAATAAAAACTAACCGTGAGTCACCGCCTTTGGTCCGTCTTTCAAGAGCCCAGCACCTCACCCTGTCCCTCACCCCGCGCCGATGCCCTCTCCTGTTCGTCTCATGCCCTCACTTCAAACTTGGCCTCCCTGCGACCCGGGCCCCAGGATACCTCCTCCGGGACACATCGGCACGTTATCACAGCATCCCATCCCTGGGGTGTCCTGGAGCCCACCTGACCCTGTGGCAGAGGGGCGGGGGGCGGGGGGAGTCTGGTCGCGGTTGGGTCAGCCTTAATTCTCTCGCTGGGCTTCCGGGCTCACCGGGGACAGGGGCTGACAGCTCAGGCCTCTGCCGGATCCTCCTGCAGGTGCCTGACCCTCCCCACCCCCAGCCCAGGGCTGCTCTTATCTCGTGGACTGGTCTGGAGGCATTTCCTGGGCTCCCAGCCCCCAGACAGGCTGCACCAAAGGGAAGGCAGCAGAAAGTAATGGTCTCCCATGGCCTGACCCAGCTGGGACGAGAGCCACCTGGGAGAACCTGGGGCCGTACCAAGGCACGGCGGGTCGGGGAGAAGGGGTTTGGGCCCTGGCAGGCCTCCTCCCCAACGCCTCCAGGAGGGGCCCTCTGGCTCGCCTGCCCAGGCACTCTTAGGGCTGTCGTTTCTCCGCAGCCAACAATATGTACTGGGCACAGTGAGGAGTGCTAGCCTTCCGGGACAGTGGGACAGGTACTCCAGCTAGAGCAGGGCTGCCTGGGCACCTGCTGCCCACCGGCGGCCCCACCTCCCACCTCCCACCTGGGGGTTCCCTGTGTGATAGGGGGGGATAAAGCTGGTTCAGAGAACCAATGTACACAGTCAAGGGCCCCGGCGAGGCAGGGCCAGGCCCACCCCAGTGGAGGAGGCTCCCGCGCCCCGTCCAGGACCCCAGCCAGAGGAACGGCCCCCAGCCGGTCTGGACAGCGGGACCTTGTGTGGCCCAAGCCCAGAGTGGCCTGGCCAAAGCCTGAGAGGTGCTGGGCACCTGGTCCATGACATGGTGGGCATAGCCTCGGAGGGCCTCCGGTCTCCCACCCGCTGAGCAGGGCTGGGCAGGGGCTAGAGGGCCGGCTCTGAAGGTGCCCCTTCGGGGGAAAGAGTGGAGCTGCCTGCCCTCTCGCTCCGAGGGCCCTAGGGCCAGCAGGTGTGTTAGGGCGCCAGGTGCGCGGAACCCTGCCAGGGACGCAGCCCCGGGCACAGCAGGCCGCGCGGGGGCAGCCGAAGACCCCGCCTCGCTAGGAACGAGACGCCCTCGGCGGGTTCAAGCCCCGTCAGCCGGCGCTGGAGGCCCAATGGAGAGCGCGGGCGGCTGGGCCGGCGCCCCCGGGGGGCGAGTCGGAACTGGCCGGACGCCGGGCCCCGCCGCGCCGAGG